TTTTTTTCTTCTTTTTGAACTGCGTGTTCATGGTGAGCCCGAGTCAGGGAAGTGCTGGCGAGGGTCAGCGGAGTGGCGTCGGTCAAAGCAGCTCGGTTTAAAGTCGTGGGAGAGCTGCTGCGGGATCAAGTTTATTTGCTGAGATTAGCATCAAGATAACCCGCTGCGAAGTAATGAGCGGAGCGGCCAGGGGGAAATGGTCACTTATTGACAAGGTGCGCAATTCAGCAACACACGCGCACAGAGAGAGAAGGCAATCAGCATTTCATTTGTATTTTGAAGGTTATGCTTGCCTCTGTAGTAAGTGCAGTGCAGTGCATGTTCTCTTAGAAGTTCAGTCCGATTGCGTTCATTCATACTTATTCTCATAGTAAGTGTGTATAACGCTGTAGACTAAATGCCTTATCCTTTATCAGTGTGTATAGCGATGTAGACTAAATGCCTTATCCTTTATCAGTGTATACGCACTTTATTTATTTATTTATTTATTTATTTATTTAATATCCCGCCCATCTGGTCGGATTAGGACCACTCTAGGCGGTCCTAATACATAGGCATTATGCATGTATATGACTCCTAGCCTTTCTCTTTCCACTGGATGAGTAAAAATAATTTCAGCAGCGAAGCACTGAATAAAAGCAGGGGTAGAAGACACCCAATTCATTATAAAATATCTAGCACACACAAACTCACAAGAGGTCATTTGTAAGAGGTTTCCTCCAACCACCAGTATTTTTCCCCCGAGGCAGAAATTTCACAACGTTTGTGTGCATCTTGGCAACATTCCTTGCATTTGTCCCAGATAAATTTGCTGATATAGGAAATCGTTTCAGTAATGTCTTTGCTAGCAACACCTTTGCTCTCAGTAAAACTGACCTTTCTTCTAAATATGAAGCTGATTGCAGCTAAGGGCTGCAAATGGTATGTACGAGAAGGTTTCTAGTGCATGAAGGTTTCTAGTGCTGATGCAGTTTGGGACCGCCCTATAAGTTTTGTGCTATGGAAATTTTTAAAAATAAGTTTAAATGTGTTTCTGATAAGTGGAATATTAAAAGTAAGTAAAAGTAAGGTGTTAAAATAGCAGAAGAGGGAATATCATAAATATCTTTCAAATTATAGAGTTTGAGATAAATAAGTGTAACAACCTGGTTCTACTTATGAAACTGATATTTCATTCAACATTTCGTTCTGTTTCCATATATCTGACAAAGTGGAGGTGTCCACGAAAGCTCACATTAAAATATAATAGTTAGTCTTTAAGGTGCCACAAGTTTTTGTCTTGTCTTGTTTTGTTTCGTTTCTCTGAATTTTTCCTAATAAACCTGGTGCTACTTTCTCTGTACTTTAACAATGGCCAGTGCACATTTTATGGCAACCATGTTGTGGCCAGGTCAGTTTTAAAGTGGTGGTCATCATTGTGTGTCAAACAGTAGGTCAGTAGAAAGACTGGGAAATTTTATTCTTCCAGGGGACTTGATGAATGGCCTTTGATAGGTTAACGGCATCTTCTCTGTCTCATTTTCTGTTCTTAACATGAAATAGCCGACTAATGGTCATAATTAGTTTTCTGCTACTTTAGATTTATTTTACAGCACATTTATTTCACAGTAGTTGATAGTAAGGTCATTGTAGTTCATGGTAATTGCACCTGATACTGTGAGTTATAGTAAATGGTTATTTTGTGTAATATATAATGGTTGTTAGTTGACTGGCAGATCCAGATTTGGATGAGTGAGATATAAACTTAGCAAATAAGTGAAATCCTTACATGGCTGCATAAGTCAATAGCAGAGTGTGATGGCCTAGAATATGAATAGTGTGGACTGCTAGGGTGTAATGGATTCATTGAAGAATGTTCTGCCTTCCCACCTTCAGTATCAAGAAAGACAATCCTGCCTTTGAGGACTTCTCTCATGGTGAAATATACAAGTTGTTCATCAAGAAACGCCCAGTATACCCTATCTTGTCCAAGGAGAAGAGCCTGTTACAAGCACAAATACAGTGGTACCTCGACTTATGAACTTATATCCATATTGGAACTGCGTTTGTAAGTTGAAATGTTCGTAAATTGAAGCACCGTTTCCCATTGAAATGCATGGGAATGGGATTAATCAGTTCCAGCATTTCAAAAAAATGTTTTTTTACTAAAAATAAAAATAAAAATAAATAGAGCAAGTCCCACGCTGGGACTGCAAACACACACACACACACACACACACACACACACACACACAAAAATCCAAAAACAAGACAACACAGCAAAGAAACATAACCCTCCCCCAGTCCAAACCCACCTTCCAAAACCAACCCAGAACAGTTTTTTTAAAAGAAAAAGCAGCACCTCAACAGTCCTCAGTCTCCTCAGCCTCCTGGGCTTGCACTGCTGCTGTGACTGCCGCCGCTGGGAGGCTTGAGCCTGGTGGGGGTGCTTTGGCCGCTCGCCTCCCAGCTCACCTTCCACTTGCTCCGCGCCACCCTCTGTGAGCCAATGGTGGGAAATTCAAATAGCGGAGGGTGGTGAGGAGCGAGCAGGAGGCGGGCTAGGAGGCGAGCAGCTGAAGAAACCCGGCCAGCTCAAGCCTCCCAGCGCTCCGCTGCCTCCACCAGAGCACCCAGGAGGCTCAAGCCTCGTGGCTCTGGGTCACCCTCACCGCATCCCTTTCCCTAACCGCTGGGGTGGAAGAGCTACAAAGAAGCAGCCTCTTCGCCACCAACAGTTAGTACAGTAAATTCAAATTTCCCGCCCTTTCTCCCTGCCTTTTTGTGTTTTTAAGTCGAAGCTCCATTCGCAAGTCAAAGCAAAATTTTGCAAACATTAATAGGTTGAAATGTTCATAGGTAGGGATGTTTGTAAGTTGAGGTTCCACTGTAAATACCACTGCTGCTGTCTCTTGCATTGCCTGTGGTGACTGTGGATTTCTACATATATAGGGCTGCAAGAGAGAAAACTCCACTCCAAGCATGTTGGTATATGACAGCCTGTACTGACATGTGTCTTCTGGAAAGTTCCACAGCAAAATATCATGTCTGTTCAACCAGATGAGTGAAAACGAGGAGTGTTGTCATGCTACCACACTTGTGTTTGGTTTATTAGGCAATAGAAGTAAGATTCTAGAGTGTACCAGCATGTTTTTTTGTTTATGGATGTGTACTATCTCAGTTCATGCAAACTAGGCTATATAGCTTCTTTGATCCCAAGGAAGAGTTCCATTGATTCAAAAGATAGCGTTCAGAACATGTGTAACTGCCCTCTCAAAATGTATGACTTTTTAAAAAATCCAGTCCTGTCCATGTTTACTCAAATGGAACTTCCACTAAACTGACTGAGCTTAATTCATGGAAGGAGATATATGGATTACATCCTTAAAAGTGCTGTATTTAGTGATGTATTTACATATATAATAAGTTCTGTCTGAAGTGTACTTTCAGACTCCTGAATTTGCCAGGTTTATACCTTGAGAAATCGAAATGACTCAATAATACATTTCCATTCTTTTATGGATGAAATGATTATTTCTTTGTTAAGGAGTAAAAAGACTATGGATTGGATCCAGAGTTCCCATTGGCACAATTCTCCCTATCTTTATATTTCTTCTGGTAGAAGCCTATACATACTGCTCCAGAGGTCCTGAAACTCTGTTGCAAGTTCAGCACAGTGAACATTGGCAAAAATATCTCACTTCCCTTCCCTTCCCTCTGCTAAAGGCTGGTCCCAAATGCAACCAGGAGTAATCCTACCAGTCTGGATCTTTTCCTTTTTGCCAACTACAGTGGATGCCGTCGTGTCCCTGCAGTGCTGCCTGGGGTCTGCAGTGGATGCAGGAAAATGGGCTGAGGCTGAACCCGGACAATACGGAGGTCCTGAGGGTGGGTGGGCCTAGCATCAGTGGTTTGGAGGGGGTGACTCTCACCGCGAAAAGTGAGGTGTGCAGCTTGGGGGTCCATCTGGACCAGGCGTTTGCCTTGGAATCCCAGGTAACATCAGTGGTCTGCACTGCTTTTCCATCTCTGGCGGATAGCCCAGCTACGCCCCTATCTAGATGGTGGGTCGCTCACCACTCTGGTCCATGTGCTCGTAATCTCAAGATTAGACCACTGTAATGCTCTCTATGTGGGGCTGGCTTTGAGAACTATGCGGAAACTCCAGATGGTACAGAATGTGGTGGCCAGACTTCTTACTGGGGTAAGGAAATACCAACATATTACTCCCACTCTGGCCGCCTTGCACTGGCTGCCCGTTTGGTTCCATGTAGATTTCAAAGTTTTAACACTTACGTATAAAGCCCTAAACGGTTTAGGGCCTCATTACCTGACAGAATGCCTTCTCCCACCTAGGTCTACCCATATCACTCGATCTATCCAGGAGGTGAGAATGAGGAGCCTAACGCCGAGGAAGGCCCAGAAGGAAAAAATGAGAAGCCGGGCCTTCTCGGCGGTGGCTCCTCATCTTTGGAATAGCCTCCCTCCTGAGATCCGTATGGCCCCTTCCCTGGGCATCTTCAAATGCCAACTGAAAACCTGTCTGTTTAAGCAAGCCTTTCCTCCATCCACCGCCTGATTTTGTTCTCTGAGCCTTTTTCCCATCTGGATTATTGTGGGGTTTTTTTGTTTTTGTTTTTTTAGTAAACTGTTGTTATGATTTTAAATTGT